GGCCCAGCGCCTCGCCTCGACGCCACGGCGCCGCGCGCGCACGGCAGGAAAAGCGCCGCCGAGCCCGGCTGGCACGACTGGCAAAGGGAGAGGTGGCAAATCTGGGAGCTTTTGTCTGCCGACAACCCCGACGCCCTCCCAGAAACCCTCGTATGATCCGGCCAAGCGGAGCTGCCGGGCAGGGGAGCAGCAGCGGCAGCGTTGGAGCAGCAGCAGAGGAGCTGGCTTCTTTTGTACCAACCGAATTACATATATAAATATATATATATATTTTTCCAAACTTTGTTCACTTTAATTTCTTAACAGCACTGTCCAGCAGCCCATTTACAAATGCAGTATGTTCCTGTGTTGCAGCGAGCTTTCTAAGAGAGAGAAACAAGATGAAAATTTTACTCTAATAACTCTGTATGCATTCGCTGTCTATAAGATTAAAACTATTGCTTTGATGTTGCTGAAAGTGTATTTATATATCTGCAGGTCTGATGGTTGTATATTCTGTAATGGGTATTGTATGATAATCATATTATGTTTTCTTATGCAGATGTCAATCAATCATGACTGCTTTTTTTTTAAAAAAAAAACCAAACACTGCACTTACTTACTTATGTTACCGTGATATGCATTGGAATTCTATAGAAAGTGCACAAGCTGGTTTCTGTGCTTATATAAAAAAATGTTAAAGGGGGACAGTGTGTTTCTTTTCACTGCCTATGGAAAAACACTAAAATAGAGTGGAATGTGGAAAGCCATATATTTTATAAGGGTAGTGGCAAGCTAGGGGGGAAGTACCAAATGTTTTTTCCTATAGATATATTTGCAAACAAACTTACAATTTGATATAAGATGTAAAAATATATTTTTTAGATTCTGATAGGAAACAGTTCAGAGAATCAGTTAAGACTGAGGCCGTGCCTAAACCACCTTCAAGATGTATTGCAAAGATCAGCCAACCCAGCCTAGAAGAACAGCAATTTCATGTATACAGGACATAATATATGTATTTATAAATGTTTGATTTTGCATATTGTTCTAAAAGAATTAACTGGAATCCAAATTAACAATCCAATTTTAGAAAATGAAACCAAATAAATTAAATGAGTTGTATAATAACTTGAGAAAGAATATGGCTTTCCTTTAAAATATAAAGCTTCAGCATTAGGAAAGTTAGATAACGCAGAATAAAAGGAAGTCACACAGGATTTCAGAAATGAATGTGACATTTGGAGAAGTTCACAGCTGCATTTCCATAAATATTGTGCCAAAGTATAAGAAAATAATTGTACCTTTTCAATAACTGTAAATTCATTTGTTAGGTTGATGTTGCACACATTCTGTTTTTAAATTCCAAAAATGTGTATGGCCAGCAGGTGGCAATGTAATTCAGTATTCCAGGAGAATTATTTTTCTCACTTGATAAGGGAAAGTGTATCATATAAAAAATATATAAAATATACTAGTCTTAATGGAGTTGAAGACTTACTCAGTGATGCTGTCTTTAAGTTCTATCTTGTGCCGCTATGGTGGAATAAAAGGCTAAGCAATGAGCATACTTTTGCTCTTTTTTTTTTATTATTATTATTTTTTTGGAAATTAGGGTTTTGTTGGAGAGGGGTGTGTGTTTTGTTGTATTTCTTGAGTACATATTTCACAAAACATTCAGAAGGTTTGAGAACTTAACAACCGCTTTCAAGTATGAATAAAATATGGAATAACTAAAGTTTTATTTGAGTATGGGGTTTAAAATGTATCGTAAAAAAAATTCTGCTCTTCATCTCCATTTTACCAAGTAATAACATAATAGCACCAAACCAAGGAAAAGGAGCGGGATTTGGACTTTGTTCATTGTATTATCATGAGGATGGCCAGCTCTTTTTATGTATTCAATACAAATCTGTATTCAGTACAAATCTGAGCTTTGTGCTTGTGATGACTGTAAGGGTTTTCCAAATAGCATCTAGATGCTAAATGTGATAAGGAAAGTTTCTTGCATGTTGCTTTTTGCAGCATCTATCTGTTATTTTACTATCTGCATACCGTGAAAAAAAAATTCCAAATATAAAAGATAGCAGAAAGAAAGAGCAACAAAAGCGCTCTTACAAGCAATCTTCAGGACTTGCTCTTTTCTTTCCTGCAGAGAATGTACTGTTCTCTGGTCACCCATGCCTCCATTTTAAATCCCTTTCTAACTATAGAAGCACCTGCACATTTAAACATTTTTAGTGACTTACTTATAGTAATTTCTCAACTTCATAAAGAAATTGCTTTTCACCTATTTCTGTATATGTCTGTATATATGTATATATTACCATCTATATGGAGTTCATGCAAAAATGAGAGAACAGAAATGCAGATCACTGCTGGAGGACAACCTGGACTGCACACATTTCACAGCAGCTTGGAAGAAAACAGATAAAGAATAAACGTGGATGAATTAAAAATAATGCTTGCCAAGATTACATCATTTCTGTCTGTAATTTTCATTTGAATAGAAAAAAAAAACAAAATTATTAGAAAAATTCGGGGGTGTAGTAGTTTGAAATTCTCTCTCATATACATATCTAAGACTTGATACTTTCCTCTTC